ATTTTGCACATTCGGTGAGTCGTGGAACGAGGCCTTAGATCTCGATGGCTCTTTTTTTTCCTTTTTTTTTAGTAAGCTCTGCCAACAAGGCAGGGYACTCACTTCTTTTTTATTTTTTATTTTTTTTAAAGCTATAACCTTCTCTCATCTATCTCATTTTTCTTTGCTACCGTCTTCCCCCGAACATAACGCACCCTAAAAATGAATGTATACAAGCTATATTTCCAGCCAGATACAGCCAAAATAAGGGTGTGTTGTGTTCGGGGGAAGACGGTAGTACTTGTTTATCTCATCCTCTCACTAGTGTTTATGTAGTATGGGCGAACACCACCCCAGCCCACGGGGTTGGTTGGCACCACTTCCTTCTCGTTTTTCAATACTTCATAGCAGTAAAAAGATGAATGTTTCCCATATTTTTAGGGAGATGCAGTTCAAACTGAAAAAAAAACAAAAGCAGAAACGCCCTAGGCCCAAATCGTCAGCCCCTATTTTGAAACGGGGAAAAATGCCGCCCCTCAAAAGGGAAACTGTGGACGGCGCCTTATGCTGATTTTCGAACGACCTGGACAAGCTAACCTGCCCTATGACCGGTGTTAGGGACCACTGCGACCGGACCCTTTTTCTGCTTTCGGAAACCCCAAACGGACCCATCCTAGCAACGCTCTACTGCACGACGTTACCCAAAATGGAAAGGACACGAAACGACGAAATGCAAACCACACAAGGCGCAGCCTCCTGGCATGTGTCGACGCACAATGTCGGTTCGAGGGTGGTCCAGACGTGGTCCAGCGAATCGAAGCATGGACATCCTTGCGTCCAAAATCTGCACGGCGCCCCAACGGCTCCAAACGGTAACCGGCGTCGGGAAGCCTCCGTCCATCGACGAGAAATGTCGGCCGACGTCCATTCAGGTCTGTTGCGGTGGGCGATCATCGACAACGGTCTGAAATTCTAATGTTTTTCCCACCCGGCGCCCCTTTCGACGACGACAGTCTCATTGGACAAGATCGTCGTTTTCTTCGATTGTCGTCACGCCTCGCACGTTGGAGCACAGAACTTCCACCGATCTTTCTTGTGTGGATGGGCTTGTTCGTTGAACAGTCGACCGCCGACGTCACACTGAAGCCCTTTGAACGGCCCTTACATGGCCGACCTGCTGCACAGGGTCCCTTTGCTGGTCCTCGTCGTTGTCTTCTTTCACGTGTGTTTCGCCGGCCTCGTCCCGCTCGCGGCTCGGAGAAGGAGATCTTCGAAGAAATCCAACAGGATGGATCGACGACTGGGCAACGGCAGACCGGCAGGCACAACCTCGTGAGCAAGGCGCACATGCCTCCGCGATTTTCCGGAATACTCGCGGGGACATTCGAAGCTTATCCCGGAAGTAGTCGTTTGTCACGTCGTCGCATTGCCTGAGGTCTTCCCACGTGCCTCCTGTCTTGCGCTTCACCCACCACCGCGGCGTCGCACGTGGTATCACTTCGCAACCCAACTCGTAGCACAGCTGAACCACAACCTCCGACGTCGCCACATATTCGGCCCCATCGCACGGATCTTGCGTCAATTTCCTTCGTCTACGCGCACGCAACTGCTCCTTCAATCGCCCCAGCGCCCTCTCCTGCTTACATCGAAGAATGATCGTGGACACGGCTATCGCCACGGCCTGCAGCTCACGAGGAGTCAACACATCACATCTACCCTCTGCGCCGCCCTCCCATAGCCGCGACGTGGAAACGGTCCCGTCGTTCCGCTGCCGTCTGTGTCGTACTTCCGCACGCGACGAAGAAGTCGAAGACGTCCGTCGAAAGGCGGCCCCTTTTCTTTGCTTACAGTCCTGCACAAGGCAACGAGGAGCAACGCGTAGTCGACGTGTGCAAAGGTCCACGGTGATGGAAGCACCACACGCTGCCCGCGCAGTCACAACGGCCTCGGGACGGAACCTCCACCGCCGCTGAGCCCCTTTCCGCAGCACGCCACCCTCGCACCGCCAGCCACACGTCGTCGTCGTCGTCGCAGTAGTCGTTCGAATTTTGAATCTCAAATGCCCACGCCCTTGGGGTTAAATTTCTTTTCCCGTCGCCCGTCGTCTGCCGTTTCCCGCCTTGCGTCGCTTGACCACGCCGCCTCCACACGGACAAAAGAAGCTGGACCAAGGACGACCGACCCCGCGGCCGCTAATCTGCGTATGAAAATGGCCGCGGGGAAGCCACAAGGAAACATCCTCGGGGTACGTCCCCAAGGATGAGTGGAACGGCGCCGCAAATTCCCCTAAAAAAACACAAGGACGTTTCCTTGTGGCCCAAGGAAACCGTAAGGAGTGTGTAACGAGGCCCATCTCTGATTTGGATGAATCAGATTCCTTTTTCAACCCATGCTCGGCCGAAGGTGCCCAGTCCGCCATCCGCCAAGAGGATTGAACCGTCCACCGATTTAATAAACTTGTTTTCAAACAGGATCTGGTTTAGGATTCGAGTCTTAGAAGTTGGTTCAGTCAATAGGTCAGGTCTTAGTTTGCTCCATGCTGACAGGATGTTTTTCCATATTCTAGATTTGCCAATGGGTTTTCTGTTGAAGTATCACTTGATTAAGAAGCATAACCAGACATGCGAGGGGTGAGACAACTCYCATTCTTTCATGAGTATGTGTTCCGCTAGCTCCTTTCAAATTTTGTTCTCATTATTGCTCATTGCTTGAGCTGGCCACTTGGCCGTGTATCTTTCCATGTTCTAGCTGAAAATTGATTCTCATTTTGCAACNCAAATTTTGTTCTCATTATTGCTCATTGCTTGAGCTGGCCACTTGGCCGTGTATCTTTCCATGTTCTAGCTGAAAATTGATTCTCATTTTGCAACGAGGCCTATAGATTGCTCCGCGCGGAGTCACGTGAGAAACATAAGACATTCTTCTTCCAAAAAAAAAAACAAAAAAAACAAAGGCAAAATGCCATTTCAACCTCTGAACTACTTGAGATGTATCTACCCATGTTCTACAGGACTATTCATTCTCATTTTGCACATTCGGTGATCTCGATAGCTCTTTTTTTGTCTTTTTTTTAAGTATGCCCTGCCAACAAGGCAGAGCACTCCCTTCTTTTTTTTTTTTTTTTTTTTTTTTTTAAAGCTATATTCTCCTCTCATCTATCTCATTTTTCTTTGCTACCCAACATAACGCACCCTAAAAATGAATGTATACAAGCTATATTTCCGGCCAGATACAGCCAAAATAAGGGTGCGTTGTGTTCGGGGGAAGACGGTAGTACTCATCTATCTCATCCTCTCACTAGTGTTTATGTAGTACGGGCGAACACCACCCCAGCCCACGGTTGCACCACTTCCTTCTCGTTTTTCAATACTTCATAGCAGTAAAAAGATGAATGCTTCCCATATTTCTAGGGAGATGCAGTTCAAACTGAAAAAAAAACAAAAGCAGAAACGCCCCAGGCCCAAATCGTCCGCCCGTATTTTGAAATGGGGAAAAATGCCGCCCCTCAAAAGGGAAACTGTGGAGGGCGCCTTATGCTGATTTTCGACCTGGGCAAGCTAACCTGCCCTATGACCGGTCTTAGGGACCACTGCGACCGGACCCTTTTTCTGCTTTCGGAAACACCAAACGGACCCATCCTAGCAACGCTCTAGAGCAGGACATTACTCAAAATGGAAAGGACACGAACCGACGAAATGCAAACCACACAAGGCGCAGCCTCCTGGCTGCGAATTTACCCCCTCCTCCCCGGGTCCCTGCTACTAGGCTGCTAGGCCCGTGATTTTCCCTGCGCGTCTCTCTAGACAGTTTGTGCTATCGCCGGTCCGCCGCCGTCCTGGCTGCACATCGTGGTCTTTCAGTTTTGACGAGTCCGCAAGTGAACATAGTTGGCAGATCCTGCATAAAACAGATACCCCGCGTCGCAAAACGACGGAGAACAAAAGAAAGGGTCCATCTTGGACAATAGCGTAAAGCAGGCCTTTTACAATCGTGATGCATGTAGAGGCACCGAAAAAAAAAAAAAGAAAAAAAAAAAAAGAATCTGCAAGAGAAGAGATAGGAGGGAGAATACCTTTCTGCAGGACAATACGTAGGAGGGAGAGTAAAGTAAAGATTGCGGAAATAAGTAGGGAAGGAGAGGCAGAGGAGAGAGGGGTGCACAGCTACAGGTTAGACAGAAGGGATAACACGGAGGAGGGAAAGTAACAGTACAGATTGCGGTAAGAGAGCGAGAAGAGAGAGGGATGGAGGGGAGCGAGTAGAGAGAGTGGGGAGCATAGCTAGAAGAGAGAGAAGAGAGCTTCTTGAGCAAGGGATGTAGTGAGTTGGCCAGGAGAGAGGGAGGGTGTGGTGGTTGTCATCAATTGTCACCAACACGAGAGCGGGA